TAATTTTCGCAACATGATTTGCTTCCACTCTTGTGGATTGGTCGAATAATTGAAACCTTGAGTAGATCTGGAATAGTCGATTCATTTAGGCTTCTATTTATAAGGTCAGTTATGGTTTCTGATATTATTTCCACATTATTCTTAAGATCAATTGCACGAATGTTATCCGCTCCAGCACTTTTCCTGGCGTTGAGACTTTTTAGGATGTTTTTGACCTCCATAACGTCTGTATTTTCGATAACAATAGAATTCATTATGTTTGTTGGGTTGTTTGGAAGAGTAATTTTATCACACACGTGTACTATTTTTTCAACGTTATCTTTAAATTGTTCTGCAAACTGTTCAGCAACTTCGAGGATGTTTTTATTTACAAAATTAAGTTTCACTGTGTCATCTATGTTATTGCATCTCTTTCCAATTATTTCGTTAATGGTTGCCCAAGTTTCTCTGATATTGCTTCTGTTTTGAATAAATTTATGGAAATAATATGAATTTTTGGCAAATATTATTTTTTTATTCAATTGATTGTTGAATGTCTTATACAGGGTTTCGTTAGCTGCACTTTTGTTTTTCCGATATTTTTTATATAAATGATCTCTTGTAGTGCAGTAACTTATTAGTTCGTCCGTTAGCCAAGGTTGCCCACTTCTGTTTTTGGTTTTAATTTTCTTCGATTCAGTGGATTTTTTATAGATATTATTGAATGTTTTATATATTTGTTCGAATAATACCTTTGTACCATTTATTCCGTTCGCAATATTTGCCCAATCAATTTGTTTTATTAGAGTGTTAACTTTTCTATTATTAATTGTGTTTTTTTCTGATGTTGATTTGGGTGGATTTGTTGTTTTTTCCGTTTCAATACATCCATATATCGTATAGTGGTCTGATATTTTCGTAGCTATTATTGCTGATTTAATATTATTCCTAGAGTTGTGTCTTACAAATATATGATCAATGCACGTTTTACTACCTGTGCGTTCACATTCTCTAGTTATACCAGTTATGCACATGTCTCCAAATAATTCTTTACGGATATGGTATTTAAGGTAATATCCAGGTTCATATCACCTATTAATATTATGTTTTGTTTATTATTTATATTCGTTAGGCTTTGATCTAACTCCTCAATGAATTTTTTTACGTTTGTGTTTGGAGGCCTATAACAAGGAATTATTGATATGACACTCTTGTCACCCATTGATATTTCTATGTTTATAGATTCCAGACGAGCTGAAGGGCCAGTTGGTCTATATATAGACGAGCTGAAGGGCCAGCTGGTCTATATATAGACGAGCTGAAGGGCCAGCTGGTCTATATATAGACGAGCTGAAGGGCCAGCTGGTCTATATATAGACGAGCTGAAGGGCCAGCTGGTCTATATATAGACGAGCTGAAGGGCCAGCTGGTCTATATATAGACGAGCTGAAGGGCCAGCTGGTCTATATATAGACGAGCTGAAGGGCCAGCTGGTCTATATATAGACGAGCTGAAGGGCCAGCTGGTCTATATATAGACGAGCTGAAGGGCCAGCTGGTCTATATATAGACGAGCTGAAGGGCCAGCTGGTCTATATATAGACGAGCTGAAGGGCCAGCTGGTCTATATGTAGACAAGCTGAAGGGCCTGCTGGTCTATATGTAGTCGAGCTGAAGGGCAGCTGGTCTATATGTAGTCGAGCTGAAGGGCAGCTGGTCTATATGTAGTCGAGCTGAAGGGCAGCTGGTCTATATGTAGTCGAGCTGAAGGGCAGCTGGTCTATATGTAGTCGAGCTGAAGGGCAGCTGGTCTATATGTAGTCGAGCTGAAGGGCAGCTGGTATATATATAGACGAGCTGAAGGGCCAGTTGGTCTATATATAGACGAGCTGAAGGGCCAGCTGGTCTATATGTAAAAAATTGTTGGTCCTTTGAAAAATATTCTTTAAAAAAATATTTCGTTGGTCCCTCAAAAATATTTTTAAAAATCCACGCCTTGCGTTTCTTCTTGAAATAATATTTTTAAAAATGCACGACTTGTGTCGGTCCTTGGAAAATATATTTCTAAATCCGCGCCTTGTGTAGGTATTCGAAAAATTTATTTTTTCCAAACCGAGCCTTGAAAACATATTTCTAAAAATCAACGCCTTCTGTTGGTCCTTGAAGAAACACTTCCAAAAATCCACAATTTGTTTTTTTAATTTATTATTTAATTTTCAAAGATTTATTGAATGTTTATAGAATTTATATACAATTAAGTTATTTTTCTTCTTTTTTCAGCGCTCAAATTAAAAATCTAAAACAACCGCCTAAAATCACTCTTCCCAAAATTTCATCTCTCTCATAACCGCGTCAACACAACAATTCGATGATATGAAGGCAACCGCCATAACAAACAGTCTAACGGCTCAAACGGCACCGACATCAGACAATGCCACACCACTTGTAAGTCACATTGCCACGGCCGCCGCCTCGGCATCTAGCAACGTTGCAACACCCACAAATTCCACCGCCTCATCATCGACCTCATCAACGGCGAATACAACGAAATTAAAATCGGCCCTGAAAGCGCCGAAAGTTAGTTTTGCTCCAATTGATTTTATGCCTCCACCACAAATCACGTGATACGAAAATATGCCGCACAATAACATTGTTTGCGAATGGCTGCGTGCGTTGGGCTTGCAACAATATGCGGAAAGTTTTCTCGAAAATGGTTATGACGAATTGGAGATATGTAAACAAATAGGCGAAATCGATCTGGACGCTATCGGTGTAGATAATGCCCAGCATCGCAGTAAATTGTTGAAAAGTGTCCGCACGTTAAGGGAGAAGGGTGCCGCCTTGGTCTATGTTATGATCAATGATCCGAAGGCGTTAAGTAGTAGTAATGAAATTCTGGCTACAGAATGTGATACCCCAACGACAATGAAAGAGTTGGAGGCGTTAGTGAAGCGGCATTTGGAAGCGGATGGAATTCGCTTGACAGCGCATCCCTACTCAACACCGGTAAGTGAGAAATGTTTACTAATTTAAGAAACTATCGATCGCAAGAATTTTTCTTAAGCAAAGGTAATTATGACATTCTTATAAAGACCTATAAGATTGTGTCAGGACTTTCAATTGAAGGCCATTAGCTCTTATATGGAAGACCATTCGAAATTGGCAGTTGTAGAAAATTTCTTTTAAAGGGACTCTTAGGTTTCCTTAACTCTTCCTGGGCTTCTATTTGCGTTGCAGGTCATCTCGCAAAACTCGCTTCACTTCTGACCTTCGGCTCGCCTATGAAAACATCTGACTTTCAGCTCGTCTATATAGAACAGCTGGTCTTCAGCTCGTTTGCATAGTGCAATATGCCTTCAGATCGTCTATATTGATCAGTTGGCCCCAGTTGCCCCTCCACTTGTCTATATAGACCAGTTGGCCTCCATCTCGTCTATATAGACCAGCTGGCCTCCATCTCGTCTATATAGACCAGCTGGCCTCCATCTCGTCTATATAGACCAGCTGGCCTCCATCTCGTCTATATAGACCAGCTGGCCTCCATCTCGTCTATATAGACCAGCTGGCCTCCATCTCATATGTATAAACCAGCTGGCCTCCATCTCGTCTGTATAGACCAGCTGGCCTCCATCTCGTCTGTATAGACCAGCTGGCCTCCAGCTCGTCTATATAGACCAGCTGGCCTCCAGCTCGTCTATATAGACCAGCTGGCCTCCAGCTCGTCTATATAGAGCAGCTGGCCTCCAGCTCGTCTATATAGACCAGCTGGCCTCATGCTCGTCTATATAGACCATATGGCCATTCAGCTCGACTATATAGACCAGATGACCCTTCAGTTAGTCCATATACACCAGGAGCCCATCAGTTAGGCCTTCTATGCGTCTATGAAAGAATCCTGGAACTTCAGCACGTCAATGAAAGGCTGCAATCCCTTCAGACCAGGCTTTCAGTTCGAAAAGACTCCCAGTCCTTCAGCTTATCCATAAAGATTTCCTGCATTTCAGATCGTCGATAGAGACATCCTGTTCGTCTATAGAGAATCCCTGCTTCAGCTAGCCTAGTAAAGTCTCCATGTTATTCAGCTCGCCTATGGGAGGCTCCCAGCCCTTCAGCTCGTATATCGAGACTCTCTCATATTCAGTTTGTCTATATGGACTTCCTGTCCTTCAGTTTTTCTACAGAAGCTACTTCACTTCAGATAGCCTGTAAAGATATTCTTAAGGTCGTCTTTAGAGACCCCCTTCAGGTCTCAAAGACTCCCTTTAGGTCGCATGTAGATAATCCCTTCAAATCGCATATAGAGACTCCCTTCATCTCGTCTAAAGGTCCTACTTTTAGATTGCCTATAGGACTCCTTTAATCTGGACTATAGAGACTACCTTCAAATCGCCTATAGATAATCCTTTCAGGTAGCCTATAGATAATCCATTCAGGTCACATATAGAGAATGCCTTGAGGTCGACTATAATTACTTACATCTATGAAGACTCTTTGCTCTTCTGTACGTCCATAAGGCTCCCTATTCAATCTGAAAAACTCACTATCAGATGAAGGTTCATGAGGGGTTCGTTGTTCTTCAGTCAGTCTATAAAAGCTCTCTCTGTTGTGTCCTTGCCTTCCAAATGATCCCTATGCTTCAGCCAGTATTTAAAGCAGGCACGGGCAGAGCGTAAAAAATTCTGTTCTCACGTACTTGTCTTTGTGTGTGTGTCAATGGTTTTTCAATTGGTTCAGTTTAATGTGTGTGGGAGAATAGTGATACTTACTCTCGCGATAGTGGACGCGTGCGGGGGTTCGCCCGACTGTGATTTAAAGCCTCACCATACCACGAAAACACCTTCGCCTCCACCAGCTTCTCTAGAAAAGTATCCTATCTTCCGGCTCTCCTTTAGAAATCTCCAATGTCTTCTTATAGCTAATAATCGACTCCAATAGGTATGTGCGTTTGTGTGTTCGCCCAATAATTAATCTTTAAAAAACTAATTATTTTTCCGACTACTTTACTACTCCTGTAAAGTGGATTATTTCCTTGCTTTAACTTTTTTACCAGCCATTACTCTACTTTACTCGCCATGTAGTTGATGAACTTTGACTTTTTATGGCCTCCCGTCCATTTTTTGTTCACTGTAAATTTGTTCCAACTGCTTAATAAAGTTCGGGCAATAAATTTTCACTTAAACCCCTCTTGGCATCGAAAGTTTATTTTTTGCGATTTTTTCAGCTCTCTCAAAAAATATAGTTGTTCTTCTTCTCGATTTACGTGATCGTGCAACGTGTCGCTTTTCCGTTCTATTTTTTTGTTTGTTTGGTTGGTCCATCTATGTCCCTCAGGATTATTTCCGTACTTGACCATAAGTTGTGGCATGGCTGTTGGTGATTTTCTTCCCAGTTTTGTGAATGTGATAAATTTATTACATTGTAGGGCAAGTGACCAACATCAACTAACCAAGTTCATATACCCTGGCCGAGATGCCAGGCAGGCATATGGTCATTATTTAAGTTGGCGGAACAGTGGTGGTGGAAGGGCCACTAATGGGGAATTAATATAAACACAAAAGAGACCTTCTTGAAATGACTCCTGGAAGAGGTATTCGGCGGTACCGGTATAATCCTAGGGAAAGACTTTATTATGGGAGATACATTTTAAAATCATTTTTACTCCAAGTCCCACTGTTTCTTAAAAAACACTTTAGTTCCCTATTCTCTCAGTGGTCACTGATGTATATATACACTCTTTACACTATTACTGCAAATATACGATAATCTTTTTCGATAGTTTTTTCCAATTTTTTTCGAGCATATTTAATATCCTACTTAGTCCACATTATTACCACCATAACAATTCCGTAAATTTTTGGTCGTTGAGCCTGCTCGAGAGTTAAGCCATATGTTTATGAACTCTGGCTATGTGGATGGATTGTAAAATAATGTCAATACTCTATGGGATTTTCTTTGAATTTGTGTTGAAAATACGTGTGTGTCACAATTGAATGGAAGTTCTTGCTACTGCAAGTTCTCCACATGAAAAACGATTATTAACTTCGTTGGCGACCGGATAAAGTTTTCAAAAGGGAATAATGAAGTTGTTTAACAGTTTTTTGGCTAATTAGGTAATAATTAGCAGTTTATGTAGGAGCTCCCATGGTCAAGTGAAAGACCATGTTATTATTATGGTTTATGGATTTTTGTTTGAAAGGCAATTGAAGGTCAGTTGAGCTGTATTTATGGAGTGAATATTATACGTATTCGACAAATATCGAATACGTATAACACAAATATGAAAATTAATAATACACTTTGGGACAAAATCTAGGTCATGGTCTGAGGGGTGTAAAATTCGTATTGGGGATGAAAGACCTTGAAGTAAAAGACTCCAGAAAGTAAAAATTCGAAGTAAAAATCGTCATAGGTCGATGATATTGCATGATATATATATTTTTTTTGCCGGCGAACCTAACAATCCAGAATATATTGCTTCATATCTGGATTTGTAGGTAGCTATTTTATGCATTTTTTAAGATTACATTTCTTCAGCAAAATCGAATGAGGAATCTTTTTTTTAAAACATTTTGTTTGTTTATACGTGCTTTTCGTCCTTAATTTTTTCAAATGGACTCCAATTATCAACATATGCGATTTTTCAAAATATTCTACAAAATGTTTACAAATAAGATTTAAGGTGAGGTCCTCAACGACAAGAAATGGATATGATAATTGTATTTTTTCAATTTTATCCGTGACAGGTTATTAAAACCCTATGTCTCCTCCTCATTTTCCGAATGAAGGAAGCTGTTTGCAGATAACTTACAATGGCATTAGCATCCTCATGTAAAAGTTCCGTTGAATTTAAGGCCATTAAAATTCCCACCTATTGTTGGAGTAAACGACACGTTCGTCCAGAATTGAACGGCATTTTAGCTTATACCTTAATAAAGGTATTCATCAATCATAGTTTCTATTTGAATATGTTATACGGGTTCATTTTATATGTTTTTGAAAAAAATATATCATCTTAATTGTACCAAAAAAAGGATCACACCAATTTTATGTATTTTTTTGTACTTACTTATCCGAGATTAAAAAACATTTCCAAGCCCGTGGGTCTAGTGCACATCTCCTCCAATGTGAAAGACCATGTTCCGAGATGTTGACTTATACTTGGTCTTTCCACCTAATTCATGGGGTCGCTCGCTATTATATGCCTTTTGGGCTGAGACATCCTCATCCATGCTCACAACATGGAACCGTCATGCTGAACATTTCAATACGATCTGCTATATGTCCGCCCTCTAGTGTGGTAATGGTTTATTAAATAATACCTGAATACGTAAGCACCTGTAAATATTTACGTGTAGACTTTTTTCCTAAACACGACAATATAAGTTGCCTTATCTGTTTGCGCAAGTACCCATGTCTCAGATCCATAAAACAGCACGGGTAATATCAGCGTCTTGTATAGTGTATGTTTGGTCTTGAGCGAGGTGGCATTGTTTCTAAACTGTTTACTTAGACCATAGTAACATCTGTTGGCTAGCACTATACTTCTCCGAATTTCAAAACTGATGTTTTTCATACCCTACACAACTATGTTGTCAGGGTATTATAGCTTTGTGCAGCCCCAAAAGTTTGTAACGCCGCGAAATATTGGTCCTAGACCCATCTTTAAGAATACCGATCGTCATACTTTCAAGGTGAGTCGATCTAGACATGTGTGTCCGTCCGTCTGTCCATTATAATTTGTAAACACGATACAGGCCACAGTTATGGACCAATCTTCACGAAATTTTGCATGTAGGATAGGTTCTGGCGAATGAATACCCCTATTGTTTTTGGAAAAGATCGGTTTATATTTAGGGGATGAAATGGACCAAAAACTTTATTTTTGTCGGTTTTTCTGGTCGCTAAATATTTCCTTTGAGAAATTATGGCCCAAACACCGCGAATTTTTGCATGGAGAAATCGGGATAAAGAATAAGCATGCATGTTTTGATAAAGAAGCAATATTT